GATCGTAGTGATGCAAATTCAATTATGGCATGCTTCAAGACATTTGGCCTGCAGCAGTGACCCGTTCGAAAGGACCAGATCGAACTAGATCATGTGCTGCGGCATAACTTTCGCTCATTGATCTTGGAGAACGCTCCCGATGAAAATACGGCATCAACACCGCAATCCAGCGCTGAACACTTATCGACAAGTTTTGTTTTGAGATTAGAGTGTTTTGAGATTGAGCAGGATGGAGCAGCGAGAATGAGTCGATCCTTAGTTGGTTCTCGGGTCGGCGACGATCGACTCGGAGCCTTTTCACTGACGATGCTAAGTGGATCGTTCTCTGCGTACGACCACATATCCCTGCATTATTCCAGGCGAAAAGTTTACACCGAAAGGAAATCGTCAGATCGAACGATGCCCGTCCGAAGGTTCGCACCCATCATCGACCTTTGATCCGACTATCGACCGACTGAATGACGGAACAGACCAACCTCTCGAGCTCGATCTCGCCCCAACCGTGCTCATCCCCTTGCCACCACGTGCGAAGTAGGAATCTGCTCGGACCTCGCAATGACGGCCTGACTATATAGTAGACACTAATCAAATACCGAATGCCAAATCCTCCCGCCAGCTGCCCGCCAGCTCTCCGCGCACTTGAGGCTGACCCTGGCAAAGATGCCCTTGATATTTTGAGGCGCGCAACTCTGTGGGCTACCCTGAGCCCAGAGCGCTGAACCGAGATGGGATCCGAAACGAGATTCCCATTCGGAAATCGTCGTCGGAAATCGTCGGGCTGGCGGCGCTGCCTCGCGCGGTAGACTTAGTTTGTGTGCAGGTCAGATCGAAGCGGTCTGTTCTTGCCGGCTCTGTAGAAGAAGTGTCATGCTCGCCCACTCGTTTTTAAATACTACATGAACCGCTCAGCATCACGGAGAAACTCGACAAAAATCGTACTCGGGCTGTAGCTCGATTTTGATGGTCCAGCAAATGCAGAAATGTTCGTACATGACGTCTGATCGGGACGACGATACTACAGGCGGCTTGGATAGACTCAACAGTGTACTGGTACATTCACCACATGGCGGCAATACAGTCAAAAACTGCGGTTTTAGATACATGGCTTTGAAATCTCGCGCGCTTGATCAGCTGATTAATTGGCTCAACTTCATTCGCGCGCGCCAACGCTCCTTTCCCTCTCCCCACTCACTCGCACCACTTGAACTCGACTTGGACTCGGCACTGATCGCACCACCCACAACTCGACGTCACATGCGCCAGTCAATCCGCAAGATGCAACTCGATTTCTCTCAACTACAGCTCGACGTTCACCTCAACCCGACTGAGGTGGGCACGGTGCGACGTCGCACAAAACGGTTAACAGCATGTCCAACGCTGCCATCTTCAACACGATACAACTAAAACTGCGACCTAAGAGGGCGCGGCCACTTTCAGCAGCGTGCTAGCTTACGTCGATGCATCGCTCGAGCGTACTCGGTCGGACACGTGCTCGGTCAGCGCATCGCCTCGATCACCCCGGTCGCCCTCTCGCCACTTGACCGATGAGTGTGGGTGAGCTCTTCATTCAGATAGTACCAAGCTCTCACTTCATTCGCTCACCTCGTGATCGTCTTTGCTGCTCATCACTCTAGTTCAGATCGCGCGTTGGCCGACCCGCTGGCAACCGAGCTTCGCACCGAACCGCTCTGTGACTTGTAGACCATACTCTGCGGCACCATCGAATGCTCAAGCTTCAACTTGCTGAGGTCTCGAATTGATTCTCGTCGCTCCACTCCGAACGCACTGCGACCTACGCCAATCTCCTCCGCCACCCCACATCGTAACGTCAACCCATCACACGAATGCAATCCCTCACGTCTCTTTCTTGATCGAATCAACGGGTCTCATTGACGCGGCAAGCTCGGGAGCTGTCGGAACATCTCATGACTCGACTGATTTCGTCGATGTCCAGACCGAGACCTTCATCGGCTCAAGCACTTTCACCCGTCTCGACCCCGCCGCGAATCAGTCAAACTCCCGCGCTCGTTATCCAGCTCGTCGAGTCATCCGTCCAAAGCCACTACGTCTCGCTATAATCATCCCCCGAACTCGTTTGGCAGTCACAAAGCCAACCAACGTCCGAAAGGTCCGAGAGTGCTTTAACCTGAGGCTTTCCCTTCCTCCGCACCGCGTGATGCCAGTATGTGCACTCTTGCTTATGTTTGACCTTCCTTTCGCTCCACCAGGTCATGGATTTTCGCCGGCGCTTAACTCGACTCTTTAAACTCCGACTCGTTCGAAACCGTTTCTAGCTCTCATGGATGGACCTCGATCTGCGAATCGACGATGGTGCAAGCTCGTATCTTTGCCACTGCTGCCTCGGCCACCCAAGACTCGACATTCGCCGATTCTCGTGGCAATCGACTCGACTCGTCTTTCTCTCATTGCACGAAGACACGACGACGCAACGCTTTGCCTTCACGGTGAGACGTCACTTGCTCGGTACATGCGGCTCGAGTTGCTCGACCCGGCACTTGATGTGTCACCCGGAACCGGCTGAGGCAAGCGGAACCCATTCAGCAACTGCAACACCCTCACCATCACCCATCGGAACGACTCGACGACGAACTCGAAAGTGTCTACATATAAGTCCGGGCTATGTCGATTGCTCACTTGAGCCATCGCGACCGGAATTGCTCGACCTCGGACGACTCGCTCAGACCGCCCACCGTGAGCTGTTTCGATCTTAGCTCTCACTTGCGACTTTCACTCCTTGCTGATGAGACGAAGATCTGCCGTGTCACCGGCGTACTGCAGATCGTTGGTCTCGGAAGACCCGGAAAGGAAGCGCTCCCTCGAAGGAGCTTCGCACCGATTCGCTCACACGCTCGCATAGCCCACATCCGAGTTCGCGCATTGCCACCCCCCGGTTTATCTTGCGACAAGCTTCCAGCACACAGACTAGTGTCGGCCTTCTTGCCACTGGAGATCCGCCAGGAACGCTTGCTCGCCCAGCAGCTTTGGACCCGCTGCGAGCGAATTGCTCAATCGCCCGCCCTCGTCATCCAGCTTGTCAGAGCAACACAGATCGTCTACGTTTCAACTCATAGATTCAAACATCTTGGTTTCCGCCTGCGTCGCCCGTCAATTGGACCGGAGTTGCACGCTGATTTTCAACCTCGTCGATCGCTCCGACCGATCGACTTCATGGCAAAGCTCCCGAGATGTGCCACGGAACACCTCCTCACTGCTTCACACCTTTATGGATCAACGTGCGCAACGTAATATGGAGTCCAATTAAGATGTGAAGCAATGAGGAGGTGTTCCGTGGCACATCTCGGGAGCTTCGCGACTCGGGCTTCTCCACACCACTCGGCGCTCGCTTTCGGCGGTGGACCGTGACGATCCTTCGCACTCTCAATCAACCTCGGCGATTCGACCAGCTTGTTACGTGGGATCACCCTCCCACCTCTCCGACTTGCACGATCGTACACGTTTCATCAACCCTGGACATGCGTTCATGAACTGCGCTCAGCGACGCACGGTGTTCCATCTCCCCTCGCTTCGCTTCTTCATGCATTCACCTCGCTTGGTGTCGACAAACTCGTTTGGCATTTACTAAGCGAGCACACGTCCGAAAGGTCAGTGCGTGCCATCAACTTAAGGGCCTTCCCTTCCTCCACACCTTGTTTAGCAAGTAGGTGCACTCTTGCTTATGTTTGACTTTTCTTTCGCTCTCAGATTCCAGCCTGCGCCTAGCTCGACTCTTCAGACTCCAAATCGCTCGAAACCGTTTCTCGCTCTCATGGATGAATGATCGCCGACTCTTTCCAATTGAGGATCCAGACTTTTTCGGCGAGACCTGCTTTGCTCGACTTCGATCTCCTCTCAATCGCCCCCGACCTCACAACTCAACTCGGTGGGACAGATCCCTTGTCGAGGAGCATGCAAGCTCTCGTCTTTGCCGCTGCTGCTTCCGCCACCCAACACTCGACAATCGCCGATCACTTGTGTGAGGAGGCTTCGTCAACCATGCGAACTCTTCTGGGCGACCTAGCGCCCTGCCCGCTCGCCTTAACATTGAGAACGAACGACCACCTTGACTCTTTGGCCAACTGCTCGAGCGACGTTTGCTCCTTTCACTTCTTTCCCTGCATTTCTGGGGTACGAATAATTGAGGATGTGCTCTTTGATGCAATACCAGGTGGTCTTTGAGCTCATGTGTGCGTGTCTGAGAACCTTTGGATCTTCTTGACCCATTCTTGCCGGGTTTTCCTGCGGCCTCGGACATGGTTCTGCCGCAAACGACCTCTATGGGATGTTCTTGTATCGAATCCGACATAAACTCTGGCCTACCAACTGCTGAACGCAAGCAAAACTGTGTCGGAGTATGTCAAAGTGACACACTGGATCGATCGTATTTGTCGCTCATGCGTATGCGTCGCCCATGCCGACCAAGCTGCAGTGACATGCCGCGGTCCGTTTAGAGTGGGCGTTGTGGTACTCGGGATCCCGTCAGAAGCAGCGGATGTAGCCGGCCCGGTTCAGGAGTCATTTCGGTTGTGGCGGGACCGAGTTCCGGAGTCGTTTCAAATTGTCAAGGTCAACACCGGTTCGGGCAGGATCAAACACCGGTTTCGGCAGATTTCTCAGCGATAAAGCGGTCCCGAGTAAACTCAGCACTTCGATGACTCAAGGATTGACCGTCAGCAACAAATCATGTGGCAGGATTTGAGTGGAAGACCGGGCCGGATGCGCGGATGAAGGAGTGAAGGGGAATGAAAGGAGCGCAGCGGCCTGAATGATCGGAACGTTTGAGGAGAGTTTGCTTCTTGTTCTTAGGCAGACCACTTCTAGGATCCTATACAGCATCTTAGCTGGTTCTCACTTTCTGCGTGATTCAAGTCTCGTCTCTCGTCTCCAGTCTCCGGTCTCAGCGTTTCGTTCTCATACTCGGTCTCGTTTCTCGGTTTGGGCTCCTTTCTCGTCTCTCGTCTCTCGGCCGTTCCGGTCGCTCTCTCGTATCTCGTCTCCCTCGTCTTCGGTCTCGGTTCCATCGTTTCCCCTTATCTTTACATTTCATCTTTGATCGACCGCTTTGCTATACCATAGCGTCAACCTTGCACTCGCATCCCTAGCCTTTTACTATAGCCTCTTTCCGGCTTTAGCAAGTAATCAAGTGTGAAGAACAGCTGCTTGCAGAGGTAGGTCGTGATTCAACAGGGAGGGGCTTCCTCGACTTTCACGCAAAGTCGAACTTCCGTGACCCGCATCCCTCACCGACGATCATGACTGAAAGTATGCTTTGACACCGCAAAGCACCCCATGGATTCTTCCGTCAAGATTGAAAAAATTCATTGAGAAAGTCCTCCTTCGAGTGTCGAAGATCACTATCCGATCGACCCGCGAAAACTAAAGGGGCCGAGTTTGCGCGATCGAGAGCCGACCTCCTTGCGCGACTTTTCAACTCCAAATCAGCACTCGAAAGTGACTCCAACACAGTGACCACCATGTGATAGATCTCTCAAAAGTATTCATGTAGCTTGCAACATGCTTCGATGCGAGGTATATGGATTGCAGCAATGACCTGTAGGAAAGGGCCACATCGACCTAGATCATGTGTGCTGCGGATCACTTGGCTTTGTGATCTCGAAGACCGGTCCCGATGAAAATACTGCCTCAACAGGACCGCAATCTAGCACTGCACGCGTATGGGCAACTATATTCGAGTGTTCTGAGAATGAGAAACATCTATCTGCCGGATGGGGCTGCGAGAACGAGTCAATTACTCCTTACTAGTCTCTCGGCTCGGCGACCATCGAGCCTTTTTGCCGACAGTGCTAACTGGACGATCTTCTCCGCGCCATCACCATATCCCTTGACTATTTCAAACGAATGGTTCTGTACCGAGAAAAAGTCGTCAGATCGACCTAACAGAGCATTGCGATCATCGTCGAAAGTGACCGAACTTGTCCGCAAACGAAGTGCCGGCCGCAGTGAGTTTTCACCGACGATCTGTTGGAGAAAGCCAGCTCTCAAACTGTATCCAGGCCGCCAGATACCACTTGAGAGCTCATCTCATCTCGACTCCGAGTAATCGGACCAACGATCTGCTCCCAGATCAGATGTGTTTGCCCTCAAACATTCCGACGCACCTCGTACATATTTTGGGAATAGCCTTTGAGTAAAAGATTGATGAGGGTACGAGTGTGCTCAGTGACCTGGACGAGTCGACCTTTTTGCCGCGGACGCCGGCCGACTCGCCCGGGCCCTCGCACCGAGTTCGGAGGTACTCGCTCTCTCTAGCTCTGAAGTTCCCTCGGATCCCTGTTCGATCTTCGAGTCTTGAAGTGCAACAGGTCGACTGGACTCGAGCAAATCGGAGACCGTCGGATCTCTCGGCCGAGCGCGCCTAATAAGCTTTCCGTCGCCGAGTTCTGCCTGAGTTCAGCCGAGTTCAGCCGAGTTCGGTCAGCCAACGACTCAACTTCAGAGTCGCGCGCGCCAACGCTCCTTTCCTTCTCCCCACTCACTCGCACCACTTGACTCGACTTGGACTCGGCACTGATCGCACCACGCCACAACTCGACGTCACATGCGCCAGTCAATCCGCAAGATGCAACTCGATCTCTCTCAACTTCGGCGCAACGTGTCACCTCAAGCCGACTGAGGTGGGCCCCGCGCTACGTCGCACAGCACGGTCAACATGAAGTCCAACACTGCCATCTTCAACACGATACGATGACCAGATCGATCCGAGAGGGC